AGAAGTTTTCAAATGATTTTGCAAAAGAAAACCAAGTTCCTCAAATGATTCACTCAGTCTCTCCAAGTGTATCAGTAAGAATTCCTTACCTCTTTTGCATTTTTGATTCCTACTCTAAGGTTTGATATGTGGAGCTCGGTAGGGATCAAACATGGCATACTTGCATTCACATTTATTACTAAGTCAAAAACTCAGACTAAAATAGATGACTAAACATACTCAAGATCAAGATCGTGCAAAGTGCCTGTGTGATATAGGGAAATGAAATGTGAAGAAAAATAAAAAAAATGCTTCTCCTTTGTACTTACTTCCTTCTCCCAAAAATCCTTGTTTTATTAATAAGGAGAGGGCATGGCTACATTATTTTCTCTTCCTTTTTTTAATATTGCACATGCTTGAGAGAGCATAACTTTTATTTTCATAACCATGCCTTTCCCTCCCTTCTCTTTTTTCAGAAAGGATTTTCTTTTTAGGAGAAGAAAGCACATAAAAGCATGGAGAATTTATTTTGGTTGTAATGAGGAAATGGAATGGATAATTGCTAGCTCCCAGTGTAGGAGTTTAGCATGTGCATAAATGAGTGTGTATGATCTTGATCATAGAGCATGAGAAGTATCTACACAAGTCACAAGAATTTGACAAAGTTTAATGGAATGACGAGTAACCAAAATGTATATGGTTTAATCATGATGGAATATTTTTGGCTCTGGTAGAAATTTATATCAAATGAGGAACTTTCAAATTTATCATTTTGAAAAATAAAACTTCTGGAATTCAAGTCAAACTTAGAATAGGGTCGTAGCAACTCTTATTTACTATTTCATATCTCGTAACAACTTAGACTTATATTAGCAAATGCAACTCATTTACCTCAGTTTCCCAGATAATTGTTGGCTACTCATATCTATTTTTTGAGAGATCACTTATTTATGAACCCATATATGAGAGATATAAAACAAAGCAACTATTCATTTCAACAATGAGAACTAGATTGTCTTACCTATCTTTTTGGTATTTCTATTTTGCAAATTTTTATGTTATTTTCTGGTTTATATAATGCAATTGGAAAGCAAACATGCAATTGGAAAGGGAAATATTCAATGTGATACAAGTTACCTTGGCGGGGAGAGAGATGTCTCCCCCCAAGCTTGGCTTTCGCTCAGGGTCCTTGGTAAGGATTGAATCCCTGGAAGAAGACGTACACTTGAAGGTCATCGTGCAGTTGCTGCATCAGGTTGTTGATGTTGGTGAAATGAGCATCAGCAGTCTGCTGCCATTCTTGCGTCTGTGCTATGTGTTCCTCAAGGTTGTGTTGGATCTCTCCCGTCTGCAAATCAAGGGTATCCATTCACCTAGTGATTTCACCCAAGTCCCAACGAGAGGAACTCGAGCACCATTCACCGGGAGATGGAGGCATACCACTTGATCTAGGGGACTAATTGCATCCCCTGTTGGCTCCCAACCTGCCTCATACATCTGCACGGGAATTGAGGATGATGAACCTTCTCGTTCATTACTTGCCATGTTGCGTGTCTCCCTGTATATTTTCTATGGTCTGCAGGGGAATGGTTAGTTCATTACAGTTGTACAAATGATATCCCACATTAGGCAACGGGATCTCATTTGTACAACAGAGGAAAAAGTATATCAAAGATCCATCTACTCCATGTTTAAGAATATGCCCTTGCACTAGATAATTCTTATCAATACAGGGACGAGCGGCTGATATATAAGCAATTTGATCAATGTTAATGACCTCTAGTCCCTTTGCTATTCGAGTAATCAAGGAAGTGCACTCAATAGGAGCAGAAAATCTTATACTTTCTAACCATTGCCTTATCATACATTTCACAGGAGCAACCTTGATTTTTCTAACCATGGCAAAAATGATAATTAATTCGTCCTCTCTAATAGGACTAAGATCACCTCTAGCAAGCAAAGTAATAGCAATCCATTTGTGCATAAGCCTAAGTGTAGATTATGGATATCATTTGTCCTAGGTTTCTTGCAAATTGGAGCACCAGAAATATCTTCCCAAAACCTTTTTTTCTCGAACTCGGAAATTCCTTTCCGAAGATCGATCTTACAGGAATCGTGAAACCAAGAAGTGTACTTAATCCTTTCCATGAAAGTGTATACTAAGTACGGAAAAAGCAAAAGGAAATTCCATCTTCTATTTCTTTTGAAGTGCATGGAAATTGCAAAGTAAGCAAACGAGAACCAGGCTCATCCACCACAGCAAATCTCTGCCAACCAACAACTTTCCAAATAGCACGAAAGTCAGTATCCATACCTATCTTTTTCAGCAACTCTGGAGAGTATTCTCATGTGTGGGCATACTGCCGGTCTCTCAGCACGTAGTAGGCTTGCCTTACCCAATCATTGACAAGGTTGAGGCCGGCGTCGCTCAAGAGACATTGCGGAACGTCAGCGTCCTCCATCGAGACATCAACAGATCAACGAGTGCTAGACTCATCATGATGACTTGATGAAGTGTCGGATTCCTTCTTGAACAGACGAGACAATCGCCTCCTCATTCTGCACAAAGGAGCAAGAACGGACTAACTCGGCGGGGGTTAGAATAACCAAAGTTTCGCCCACCAGTTAACTTCACCAAAGCAACTTGTGTGTATGCAACTAAGTGTTTGAATTTGAGGGAAACTATCAAAGCTTGGATGAATTTAAGAGCAAAGTTTGGAGAGGGAATGAAAATGAGTTGAAATGGGGTGGAATTCCCTCTCTTGGCCGTCTGGCTTATATAGGGTACCCACAACGGTCATAATTGACATGTGGGACCCACTAGCCGTTGCTCTGCCAAAAATGGCAGGTAGCCGTTGCCTGGCCGGTTCGGTCGAACCAGGGGTTCGGCTGATCCCCTGGTGGGCCCAACTGGCCCCACATTTGGCCGTTGGACTCCAACGGTCAGTGTGGCCGTGGCACAGCAAATTTTCATTGAAAATTTTATTTTTGTTTGCTCTAAAAAATTCATTTGAAAGAATTTCCTTAAAATTCAAATCCTAAATGCAAATTTTGGAATTCAAACATGTGTTGAAGCAAAAATTAAAATTGATGAAAATAAATATGCGGATACATACCAATTTACATGTTGGCGAAGGTCGCGTCATTTTTAGTCCGACGTGCAAGACCGTACCTCCTTTTAGTTCAGTTCGCGGATTTTCCACACGTCTCCGAAGGTGATGGAGCGGGCGTCTTTAGCTTTTCCCTCCACACCTTCTTTGGTTTTGGTGCGGGAGACGGCTTTCTCTGAGCCGGCTGCTCTAGCTTCTTGGCCGGTGTACTGGATTTTACCAGCGTCTTCCAATAACGGTTCCTGAGAAATGTTGTTTCCTTCTCCAGGAAATTCTGCATGAACTTCAGCAGGCTATCCGTCTTGGGTGGCTCCACTTCAACCACGTGGATGGTTTACGGGTTTGGCCCGTATTTGATCCGGACCATGGAGCATTGTTCGGTCCTCGGCTAGAACTCGAACTTCTCTTCTTTCCTGTTGATATGGAAATGGATACTCCTCATTCCCACGTCAATGTTGGCTTCCGCGGTGCTAAGGAACGGATGGCCCAAGATGAGCGGCGTTTCCTTCTCCGTGTCCATGTCCAACACTACAAAGATGAGTGGCGTTTCCTACTCTGTGTCCATGTCCATATCTTGACCAGCACATCCTCCGCTATCCCTGCCAGGTAACGAACTGACGAATTGGCCAGTTGCAGGCGCATTGGTGTTGGTGCCAACACCGTGAAGTGAGCTTGTTGAAGATGTCGTTGGGCATGACACTTACACTTGCTCCAAGGTCGCAGACGGCTTGGTCGAATTGCTGTGACCTGATCAAGCAGGTGATCGTGGGATACCCTGGATCCTTCTTCTTTTCCGGGAGCTTGTGGAGTATGACATTGATGCACTGCTTCGTCAGCTTGACCACTTCCATAGTCGTGAGCGGTCACTTGTTGTTGAGGATGTCCTTGAGATAACGTGTGCATGTTGGCACTTGCATAGCATCCAACAATGGCACGTTGATGTGGATCTTCTGGATTACTTCAACAAAACGAGCGAACTGATCGTCCACTGACGGTTTCATGCTTCTTTGAGTTAACGGCAGCAACCGGGTGTCGCAATACTCCTGCGGCACAGTCTTCTTTGGTTGAACCTCTTCATCAGCCGTGTTACTAGATGGTGCTTCTCTAGTGATACTGCTAGTGCTTGCACGGTTAGGATATGGCAGATCACGAGTGGACTTACCTCCTCTCATTGTGATCACCTTAACATTTTCAACGGAGGATTCGGGCTGCCTCGGAATCCTCCCAGACTCATTTGCAGGTACAAAAGCAGCTAATTGAGCCAGTTGTGTTTCAATCATCTTATTAAAGCTCAGCTGGTTTTGAAATGCAGAAGCGAAGCCATCTAGCTTGACATTTATGTTTTCTAAGGTCTTGTCATAAGCAGCTAGCTTTTTACTTAAAGCATATGTGGTTTTAGCTTGCGCAAAGACGAGATCTTTCAAGGAGGGCTGGTTAGAGAAGTTATCGTTGTTGTTACCTCCTTGATAATATGGGCGTGTTTGGTTCCATCCCTGACCTCCTTGTGGACAATACCCGTTGTTGTTGTTGTTGCCCATGTACATCGCCTCTTCACGGGTCTACGGGCAGTCGTTCCCAGAGTGACTCCTGCTGCTGCAGACCTCACACGTAACGTGTGAGTCCAAGGCTTCGATGGTGCCTTGTGATCTCTTGTCGTTGTCGTCCAAGCGTTTCATGAGGAGGTTCAGCTTGGCAGCAAGCATCTCCGTCTCCTTGATGGTGTGCATACCTTGCTGATGGGTCTGGATTCATTCCTCACTCCAACCCATATTGGAGACTATCTTCTCTATTAAATTGACGGCTCCTCGAACCGTCTTAGAGACAAAGGCTCCTCCAGTTGCCGCGTCCAAGTGGTCGCGAGACGTGGGAGTGCGTCCATTGTAGAAATTCCGTAGAATAAGCCAGTCGTCCATCCCATGGTAAGGATAGGCGGCCACATATTCCTGAAGTCATTCCCATGCCTTAGGAATAGACTCATCTCTCGTCTGCTGGAAACTCGAAATTCTTCCACGAAGGGCGTTGGTTTTGCCCATTGGAAAGAACTTCGATAGGAATGCTATAGAGCATTTGTCCTAGGTGTTGATTGTAGCACGGTTGGCATAGAACCACTACTTCGCTTTCCCAAGGAGGGAAAACAGAAACAGCCATAGCCTGACGGTGTCTGGACTGACTCCCTTCATGGTGTACATGCTGCAGATCTCCAGGAACTGTTGTAATGAGCATTGGCATCCTCGTTAGGCTTGCCGCAGAACGGGATAGCCTGCGCCATTGTGATGAGGCTGGACTTCAGATCTGTAGCCCAATGGCCACGTTGTCAGCAGAGGGAGCAGCGAATTCGCGAAGGATCTTGTCAGCCATAGTCTTGAAGGTCAGTGCGCTGGTATGGCTGATTTCTTTGTCGGGAGAGTTTTCTACGGAGCGACGACTCGCGTCTTGACGCTCTGAAAGAAAGCTTCTAGATTTTCTTTAAAGTCATGAAACCAGTCATGCACTACCTTGCTTCCACAAAAACAGTGAAAACAACCAAGGTTAGCCCACAAAGGACAGTGATTATACAAAGGTAAATATAAAATATTACTATTGGTAATCTCTATTATAAATCTTCCCTGGCAATGGCGCCAGAAATGCCTGTTGTTATTTCTTAACGACATTACTAGAAATATAATTCGCAGCAATGGTCCAGAAATACTTCTAGTATATTATGGTTACAGAGTTCATCCACAAGCGCACGGATATACCATTGTAGCATTTCACTCAAGAGTATTCCAAGGGTATCGTATTTATTTAATCCCGTGGGAAGATCATAGTAGAGAGAACCGTACTAATAGTTTATATGTTACTTGTAATAATCATAGTCTAAGCAGGGGTTAATATAGTCCAAAGGGTAGAGCGACACTCAAGCATAGAACTACTCATTCTCATACTAAATTATCTAAACTAAGTGAAAAGAAAATAGAAAGAATCTGTTCCTATACTTCTAGTATACATAGTATACATACATTATAGTTATACGATTAACTAGCTAATACCCTCTATCCGATGCCCTCCTGGTACTTTGAGAAGCCACCCCTGACTGTCGAGTTCCCTACGACAGCCCGTCATGGCCATACAACCGGGGCTAAATACGGAGGAGTATCGTCCCCAGGAAATTAACTTAGGACTATATACACGCGCGGAGGAATACCCGTACTGAGCTGTCACCATGAGCGGGCCACCTCTCATCCGTAGCATAAAACCCCAAATAATGATAAGCAATAATCTAGACACCACACCAAAACTACCAGATAATACTCTAATATCATCGTCATGACATAGAGTAAATGCAATAGCAAACATTATACCCATACCAATGCATCTTCCAGATAAGCTAGCAGTATAATCAGTATAACTTGAACATGAAGTAAAGTTGGCATTCAAATACTCGGAAAGTATTTGAATACCAGAAATGTATACAGAAGAGTATTCTAAATAAAGTACAATGCTTACAAAAGAGAAGAGGACAGCTACTGGAGCCATACCCGAACTCTTCCGAAGGCTTCCTGACTCCGATTTCTATTCTATTCCTACTCCACTAGCTTAAGAATACTAAACTAAACTTGAGAGAATATGAGAGAGCTCTTGCTTGAAATGTGTGAAGAAATGGAGGGAGTGAGAGCCGTTTATAGCTGAGTATAATGGTTATGATGGTTGGAAAGGTCGGTAATACCCTTCAACAGTCATTGGGGATCAATCCCAGCCGTCCATCAAAACCATGCATCGAACGGAGCCACGGTGGGTTCGACCGAACCATGGGCTGGGCCGGCCTGGCCCAATTTCAGCAGGTGGCCTCCTCTATTGCTCCCATGCACAGACTTGTGAATTTTGGCCCAATTGGTCATGTCATTTCTACACTATTGGCCCATTCATTGATAAGTCTGATTCTCGACATCATCCGATTGATTGATCGTCTGATTTGATGTCAATTCTCCTCCACTTTATGGTTATTCTCTGCAAAAGGTAAGTACTCCTCATACTAGTGGAATATTATTATTCTAACATAAATATGCATTGTAAGCATAACTAGTTCTCCTATATTTTGGTAGTATTGACGGTCAAAACTGATCGCTAACGACCGTCAGCACTAGCATGGAGGGAAGGGTGCAACCTATCGAGGGGAGGTTGGGAATCGAAGGTGAGGTTGGAGGATAGGCTACGACTCAACTAGAAAAAAAAGATAAGTGAGAGAAACCGGGGAGACGGAGTGCGAAAAGGATAAATGAGGGCGGAGGGGCCGAGGTGGCTCGGCTTGGTGGTATGATGTGTTGGAATTTTTAAATCAGTACCTATAATTCACTATGTGTATTGGCTTTTTATGAAAACCGACACAGAATGTGATGACTTTCTACGTGTCAGTTTTTTTAAGAACCGGCATATATAGGCACTTAGAGGTTCCAATTTATATTTTTAGCCTACCCTGGGACGTCAGGTGGATGGGAAAAGCCTCATGTGGACCGGTTTTAAATGAAGCGGCACATATTGAGGCTTCCCCTATTAGCAGTTCTGTGTTTCTCATCCCCATGTTGGATGAGATTCAGAGGAGCCAAAAGAGAGACAACTATCCCGTGCAAAACTCTACTAGAAAAAATATTTTCTCAGGCAGCCAAAAATGGTCTTCGCGAGCGGTTAGACATGTCGCCGGTAAGTAAAGTCGCACGAAAATAAGGTCTCGGCCACCTGCGAAAATAAATTTTCAAGTAAGCTGAGTTATATCGCCTGCTTGGAATATTCACAATTTTAGCAGACGGCTCTGTTATACAAATCGCCTGGAAAAATCATATTGGGTGACAAAAAAAATCATCAGCATACAATGCTCCTCATCCAGCCACTGAATTTCAATCAAACCCCAAGTTCAATCACAAAATACACATTCACAAATTCGATTATCCAAATTCATATAGCATTCTCAAATTCACAAACTACATCTCACGCCAAACCTGAGAGAGGGAAGGGAAGTGGACTGGATGAGCTAGCTTGCCCGCCAAGAGATCAATAGGAGATGGAAGCCAGGAGCAGAGCCTGACTGTGGTTGCCGCCCGTCGTCATCGTCGTGCGCTCGAGGTCATCGTCATTGTCGCAGCCCTCGCCGTCGACACCATCGCACGCATGGGAAGAGCAATGCCGGCGCTGGATCCGATGCTCTCGAGCACATTCAGCGCCAGATCCGGTGCTTTGGATCTGGTTTTGGGAGGGAGAGGGAGGGGACCCGCGCTGCCGCCCTCCCCTCCGGCCGCGCCGCCTCCGACGCCCCTCCCCTACACCGGATCTAGGAGGGAGATGGAGAGGAAGGGGAGCCGCACCGCCGCCGCCGACGTCCTAGGCCGGATTTGGGAGGGAGAGGGAGAGCGAGGGGAGGGCGGCTGCACCTCCGCTGCCCTCCACTCCGGTCGCGCCACCGCCGACGCCCCTCCCCTCCGCTGGATCTACGAGGCAGAGGGAGGCATGGGGAGCGGAGCTGCACCGCCAGTGGCATCCTCCCCTCTCTGGCCACGCCACCACCACCGCCCCTCTCATATGCCAGATCTAGGAGGGTAGGAAGGAGAGGGGAGGAGAGTCGGAGGAAGAGGGAGGGCTAGGAGGGGCCACGCGGGCTGTCTCCTCCGCAGCCAGCGTGGCAATGGCCGGCCCCTCTACCGTCGCCAGCTATGGTCGGCGCTGCCATTGTCCCCGGTAGATGGAGCAGGATTGGGGAGGGAGAGGAAAAAGTAAAGGCACGCTCAATTTTAATAGTGTTCTCATATGTTGGAGGCGAACCACTTAAGATCCGCTTGAGAAAATCATATTTTACCAGGCGAGCCTATTAAGATGTCCATCTGCGAATATAAAGGTATTTTTGCATTGGATTTCTGACGGGGTCCGCCTGGAAAAATTAATGTTCATAGATGGGGCTAAATCTAGAGGCTCTTTAGCTATTTTTGCAAACGGTTATAAGAGAGTTTTTTTTAGTCCGCCTGAAAAAAATAAATGGCCTCCATTGATAAAAATGGTTTTTTTCTAGTTGAGAAACATCCATGTCGTCACGTCCGCAAATCTCTGGTACCACATATGCTGGTTGATGGAGGGGAGCCAGGAGTCCTCGCTCACCATGAGATGAATGTACTACATGGACGGTCACCCGATAAACCACACTAGCACGGGATAGGTCATCTCGGTCGGGTGGAAACCCTCATCTGTGTTGGGAAGGGCCTTCGTCACGAACAAAAGGTCATAGATTTGAGAAGTCATCTATATAGAGCATTTGGCTATCACGGATGACAGTTATCTCAATTGGGCCAAAAATAAAGCCTGTCACCGATAGGTTTGACCCAACATATGAGTCAAACCAGTGCCAAACTAAAGCTCGTCACCAATGAGATCATCTGTCACGGGCTCATACTTCAATCACGGGATTGGTATGGCGCCCGTCACGGATGACTCACTCAATCGGGCTTGTTTTTAAGCCCGTCAAGGATGACTCATATCGATCGGGCTTAAATTTAGGCCCGTCATGGATGAGATCATCTTTTTCAGTCTTTTATTTAAGCCCGTCATGGATGATTATTTGACCCAAAAAAATAAAATTTGTTTTTTTGCTAGCCTCAGGCTTTTGCTAGCCATGCCCGCTGCAAAATGACCGAAGCAGATATATATATTCCCTTTCCTAGCAACCCCATTCACGCATCCATTCACAAATCAAACATTCAGTGATCACATCCACATTCACACATCCATTTACATATATGCCAGTTACAACAATTCACAAATCAAACATATATTTAGTGATCACACATCCACATTCACACATCCATTCACATATGCCATTCACATCCATTCACACAACCATTCAGCAACATGAATCTTCAAGCGTCAAGCATCAAAACCTGCAAAACCGAGTTATAAATTGGAACAAATTTATATGTAATTAGCATTGCAAGTATATACAGAAACATCAGACCAGATTATATTACATATAATATGATGAGGACATTAATCCTTTGGATAA